CGCCCCGCGCCGTGACCCCGAGAGCAGCGCATCCCCCGGGGCAGGGCTGGGGGTGCTGCCGTCGCCGCGGCGGGGCAGGGAGTGATTTGTATTTTATTTTTTTTTCTTGATCCCACAAAATATTCCTGCCTCAAACTGTGATGGAAGAAGGGGGAATATATTGCAAAGGTTTGCCCGTCATTGCTCCCCCCGGAAAACGTTATCCAGCCCCTTTGAAATGTCCCGTGTGATGATTGGAAAACATTTTGTTTGGATTTCATCTTTAAAAAGCACTTCCCGAGCCGCCCAGGACAGAGGTGCGGGCTCCTGTTCTTTTTAGCAACACCCAAACGGAATATTTTTTTGCTGCCGAAACGCTGTGATCCAAGGGCCTTTCAGGGAGGGGCTGCCACATCCGGCACCGTCCCCGCCGTGTCCTCCCCCTCCTCTCACCCCCTCTGCCCGTCACAGAGGCGTGGATGGAGAAGCCCTCCTACGGGAAGCCCTTGGAGGAGCACCTGGCCGTCAGCGGGCGGGAGATCGCCTTCCCCGTGGAGGCGTGCGTGACGATGCTGCTGGAGTGCGGCATGCAGGAGGAGGTGGGTCCCATGTCCTACCACCCTCCGTTGGGCATGGTGGAAGGGGATATGGGTGGCTCCAAGGCGGGGATGAGGAACCGGGGTGGGGCTTTGGGGACATCCCCAGCCCCAAAGCTTGTCCGACGCTCTCCTGTGTCCTCTGCGAAGGGTCTCTTCCGAGTGGCTCCCTCGGCCTCCAAGCTGAAGAAGCTCAAGGCCGCCCTGGACTGCTGCGTGGTGGACGTGCAGGAGTACTCGGCCGATCCGCACGCCATCGCAGGTAGAGGCTGCCCCGGGGGGGTGTTGGTGGTGTGCGGGGTGGCCCATCCAGCCCCCAAGTGCCAACCATGGGCACCCAGCAGGTGGTCATCGATGGCATGAAGTCTAGTTGGAGGCCAGTAACTAGCAGTGTAGTCCGGGGGTTGATACTGGGTCCCATCCTGATTAACATCTTCATTAATGACGTGGATGGTGGGGCAGGGGCCACCCTCAGCAAGTTGGCAGATGACACCAAAGTGGGAGGAGTTGCAGATGCAGGAGAGGGTGGTGCTGCCATCCAGAGGGACCTGGGCAGGCTGGAGAGACCTCCTGAAGTTCAGCCAGGGGAAGCACCAGGGGCCCCGGGCACCAGGACATGCTGGGGCCACCCCACTGGAAAGCAGCAGAGATGGCCCTGGGGGTCCTGGTGGACACCAAACTTGGACCAGCAACGTGAAGGCGAATGGTGTCGTGGGCTGCACTGGGAGGAGTGATGCCAGCAGGTCAAGGGAGGTGATCCTTCCCCTATGCTCAGCACTGGTGAGGCCACACCTGCTGTGCTGGGTCACAGCTGGGCACCACAAGAGAGACATGGATGTACTGGAGAGACTCCAGTGAAGGGCCATGAAGATGATGAAGGGCCTGGAGTATCTCTCCTAGAAGGAAAGGCTGAAGGAGGTGGGACTCTGCTGAGAAGGCTCAGGGGGATCTCATCGGTGGATATAAATACCTGTGGAGAGGGTGCAAAGAAGACAGAGCTCTTTCCAGTGGTGGCCAGTGCTGGGACCAGAGGCAGTGGGCACCAACTGGAACACAGGAGGTTCCCTCTGAACATCAGGAGATACTTTGTCACTGTGCGGGTGACCAGCAACTGGCAGAGGCTGCCCAGGGAGGTGGTGGAGTCTCCATCCGTGGAGGTACCCAAAAGCCATCAGGACATGGTCATGGGCAACCAGCTGTGCGTGCTACTGCTGGAGGAGGGGGTTGGACCAGATGACTTCCAGAGGTCCCTTCCCACCTCAACCCTTCTGTGATTTGTCCCAAAGCCTTTGAACAGCAAAGACAGAATATATGAGGGGACAAATGCAGAAACACAGCTCTTGGTGGAAGTGGGGACATTCAGGTGTTGCCATCCACCAAAGAGCACAAACCCTGACCCACACGTCCCCTCCCCAGCCAAGGGCTCGAGCAGCACTTTTGGTTGCAAGCGAGGAAGAAAACAGGGATACGATTGCGGTCTGAGATGGCATTGGGGTCCTGGTGACATTAATGAGGGTGACACTAATGAGGATGACGCTGATCAGGAGAGGCTCCACAGGAGCAGTGAGCGGTCGGTCAGGAGGATTCACACGTGTTGCCATCAAGCTTGCCATCTTCTCTCCACCTCTTCTGTGGCCAAGACCCGCTCCGAGCACAGATCCGAGCCCGCGGGGCTGCTATTAAGCATTAATTTGGTTTAAATGCCACTCAGCTGTCCCCCTCCTGGGCTGGGTTCTGCAGCGGGTGCAGGATTAGACCCTGGTTTCCTTCTGACTGCAATGGGAACCTTTTCCCAGTGCAAGGAGCCGTGAAGGTCCTAGGCAAAAACGAGTGATGGAGAGCTGGGTGAAAAACGAGTGATGGAGAGCTGGGTGAACGCCTGGTGGAGGCAAAAATGGTGGAGGGAATCGGGGAGGCGGTAGGAGGGATGAGGTGGAGGTGGCAAGGTGGTTGCTTGGGGGTTGGGAGATGCTACGGGCTCCACCAAGCTGGAGGGACTACCGGGTGCTTTGGGAGGCATCAGTGGGGACGTTGGGAGGGATGCGAGTCAAAAGGCCGAACAGCGACACCGCTCGGTGCCCGTCGGCCGGTGTCACCCACGGTGCTGAGCCCCGTGTCCCTTGTGTGCTGCAGGAGCCCTCAAGTCCTACCTGCGAGAGCTGCCGGAGCCCCTCATGACGTTCGAGCTGTACGAGGAGTGGATCCAGGCCTCCAAGTGAGTCTGGGGCAACTCCCCCGTTCCTCTGTGACACGGGTGGTGGCATCTTGGGTCTCCATGGATGGTTTGGGGGCCATGAGTTATTTCTGACATGACTCACAGCATTTGGGATGTTTCCTCCGGGGTCTGAGAACCAGGAGGGTTCCCGTGATGCTCCTTGAGCATAGTGGGTCCCGGCAGTGAGGGTGGCCCTGATGTCCCCTGACCCTGATGTCCCCAGCAGCACCCTGGCCAAGGTGGCGGAGCTCTCCCAGCATCTTCCAGCAAGCCCTTGGGTGCTGGTGCTGTTTGTGGATGGGTGTACAGACCCCAGGGGACAGCTGGCCAAGGGAGCTCCCAGCTGCTCTGCTGGGGTGCTCTGCACCATGGAACCCCCAAACCCAGCAGGACTGGGCCAGTTGAGGTGCCACCAGTGTGCCTGCTCCACCATGGGAGCTGTTTGGGGTAGGGGGCGAGGAGCAGAGGGAGGTGGGAGAAGGAGCATCACCATTTGGGGTGGGAACCACCTCACTGGTACCTGTATATAGGTCTGACCACATCCCACACCTGTTCTGGGAGCGCTGGACCACGACAAGGATGTGGCGGTGGCTCAATGGAGGGGACGATCGCCAGGGGTGGCACATGGCGGGGGGAGGGGGGGCAGGCTGTTTTTCTGGGGGGCAGTTTGCAGTGATTTCCCCTTCCAAGACGAAGGCGGGGGGGGGAGGGAGATGCCCAGAAGCGAGGAGAGGACCAGCACCCAACCTGCAGCCAAAAGGTTTCCTTCTCATTTCAGCCAGGGTTTGGGGGTTAATTTCTAGAACGTTGATGGCGGCCTGAGAGTGTCACGGGGTGCCCGAGCGCAGGGCTGGCAGGGTGGAAAACCCCAGGGATGGGGATGGAGGATGCTGACCCTCTCGGCCCTCTCCCCGCAGCATCCCGGAGCAGGAGAAGCGGCTGCAGGCTCTCTGGAGCGCCTGCGAAAAGCTGCCCAAAGCCAACTACAACAACATCAGGTGAGCCTGGGGCCAGCGGGACCCGGGGAGGGGACGGAGAAGGCGCGATCCCGATACACCCAGAGGGCTTGGCTCCGCTTTCCAGGTACCTGATTAAATTCCTGGCCAAGCTAACCGAGTACCAGGACACGAATAAAATGACGCCGAGCAACGTGGCCATCGTGCTGGGACCCAACCTCCTCTGGCCGCAGGCAGATGGGTAAGGTGTCTGGGTGGAAAGCGAGCGTGCCGGAGGGATAATGGGGAAGAGGGTGAAGCAGGGGAGGGGGTGTCCGGGGCCAAAATCCCGCCGGGGATAAGGCCAGGCTGCCGTGGGGTTGCTGAGCCACTGCCCACCCCACCTTGCAGGAACATGACGGAGATGATGACGACCGTCTCGCTGCAGATCGTGGGCATCATCGAGCCGCTCATCCAGCACGCCGACTGGTTCTTCCCCGGAGGTAGGCTGCGCCCCGCGGCCACGG